ACCCTATAGTTGGGAGTATGGCCAACAAAATGGGCGAAAACCAGACCAACTTTCACGCTAAAAACTTTCTCATTTCTTAACTAGTTTTTGTTATTGTTAGCTGGTTTTATTTTCTTGTTGTTGCTGGTGTTTTTTGGTGCTTGCTGTCGCCTTCGTGCCCTGCACAAAATGCGGAAAATTAAATTGCCCTCGTTCTGGCTCGTTCTCTTGTTTGGCGAGACAGCCAAAAACACGGCACACACTCACACACCCACAGGATATACACTAAGAGACGGCACACACATACAAACAATAATTGAAATAAACACTTAAAAAGTTTGACTGCACGCTGTTGGCTTTGCCTTTGCTTTTATTTTTTTTTCCTTTTCTTTGTTGGGGTTTTTTTTTTGTGTGTGCATTGAAATAGTTTTCTTGGTTTTAATGCCGCGTACCGTTGCAGCTGTTAAATTTTATTAAGCAGCTAACAAAACTTGAAACAATGGACAGATTTGCATCTGCTATTTGTGTTGTTGTTCTTGGTGTTTTTGTTGTAACTATTGTGTTAAACGCACACAGCCACAAGCAAAACGAATGGCAGACAATAAAAGCGTTGCATACTTTTGTGCGCCGAAGAAATTTAATTATGCCAGGCAACTCGTTAATTACAAACAAATAAATATAATTAGCCATTGAAGCGTTTAGGCAAAGTCAAAAGCAAAAGTCAAAGAATCGCATCCAACGCAGAACACAGCCGAGCACATGTCCGGAGGCTACTTGTTCGTGTGTCCTTGGACAGGACAACAGACAACGGCATTCGTTGTATTTACATTTGAGCTCATACTTTACGCTCATTATGTGGGTAGCTGAGTGTATGACAATTGACCAGATTGAGAGAAGCCTATGCTCTGGTTGTTTTTGCTGTTGTTATTGTCAACTTCAGCTTGATAAACCACTTGTGCTGCAGAGCTTGATAAAATGAAGTCGTTGACTGCCAAACATAAATCAAGGAGCCCATGAGGAGAGCACCTTGGCAAATACAAATATAATCAAGTGGCCTTTGAAGTTACATCTTCATAATTGCCTGTCCCTACAAGATAAATTACAAGTACTACATACTAAATGAAATGCAATAAAAACAGCAACTAATTTGTCTAGCATAGCTTGGACAAACAAAGTGCTTAACGGTTTTTGCAGTCACATAAGGATAGCTAATTCATTTCACAGCTAAATTAGCAGTGTTGCAAAACACTCAAAAGCATTTGAGTTTAGAATCGAAATTAAAACAATATATTTCAGACAGACTACTAAACTGGTTGGATTAAAATTTTAATGAAAATAAGTCAAATGAAAACAATTGACCGGAAAATTATTGAGTTGAGTCTTAATTAAATATGGCAAAGTTATATTATTTAATTCATATTTGAAAGACCAATGAATAATTTTAATTATTTAACTATTAACATTGGCGATTGCCAACTATTAAAATTGTCTATGCACAGTATTAATAGTTTAAAGCGATTGCAATTTATTTGCTAACAGTTTAGGTAATATGCATCTTTATATATACAATATTTATTTATGAATGCAGGACTTTATTTTCATTGCATATTGTTTCTGTTCTCTTTATTTACACCATAATATCCAAATGCTTTCACTTAACTATATTAAGCATGGACATTTACTAATATTTTGGCCTTTTAGTCCTACGGGCGCCCAAATAGGATTTTCAATTATCTTAAATTTTGCCATAGTTGTTATGGCTCTTGGAGGAGTATGGGGACAACGGAGCGCCCCTAATTAATATGATATTTTTTGGCTGGAACAGCACAAGTCAAGCAAAATTAGACGCTGCGGTGTAATAAGGCAGAAAAAAGGCGCATAAATATATTTTTTTTCTGTCTATTCTACACACACACAGACACACACACAGACACACACACAGCTAAATGCCTTTTTGCGTTACCTTTTTATGGACATTCCACGCGTAGCGCTGCAAAAAGGAAATTAATATCAATTTTCAGCTTTGTCTATGACAGTGCGCTGAGTGTGGTTGTTATTGTTTTTCTGATGTAGATTTTTTCTGCTGTTTATTCTTCGTTTTTATATTTTCATTGCGTGCTTTTGAACGTTATGCATGTGTCCTTTGTCCTGCCTTATTATATTAACAGCAATTACTCACAGTAATGCGCTCTCTTTCGCACACACTGTTGCTTCGAGCACTCTACACATAGTCATGGCTGCAATTAACTTGATTACAACAGGAATGAAAGCTATTTTTGCTGTTGTGGGCTTTTATTAGGTTGCACTGACCCAAACAGGGGCTTAACATACAGACCCACACAAAGGCAACAACAAAACAAGCCCAAGCCTTTCGCATGGCCGGAGTAGCCGAGGGGCTACCTCGGAGGCGCCACCAACAGATGTGCATGTTGATTAGGGCTGTCTACAGGCCCCCGATGGCAGCAGCGCTTGAACGAGTCGCTCTTTTAGCGGCGTTTGGTTTCGATTTACTTTGCTTTTATTTTCCACTCAAATTCAGTTAAATGCCTGCGGCTCGTATCTGTAACTGGGGCATCTTTTGAGTGCGCTTCCCTGATGGATATTATTTCTACGCACAGACACACACACACACAGACAGCCCGCCGCACACGCTGATAATAGAACATTTGGCCGCAGGACAAATTATGCGTCCGTAACGCGAACTGCGCACCGCCAGCAACGACAATCAGTGTCAGCAACAGGAAGCTTCGGCTTCTCATTCATTTTTTTTTTTTTGTATGCATTCGCGTTTTTTCTTTTTCTGGTGTAATTGAAAAGCGCCAAAAGTCAAAGTGACAAACACAGCAGCGGCAGCATTGGCAGCAAGGATGCGCGAAGGACTCGCACTCACTGATTGACAACAAGATCAGGTCACATTGACAAATGCTAGTCCTAACGAGATTTTACCGCTGCTGCCGCCGCTGTGGTATTGTTGCTGTTGTTGATGTTGTTGAAGTTGGCAGCAGACTGTGCCACATGCAAAAATTAATTAACAGAATTTCGTTTTTTTTTTTTTTTTAAAGCAAACGCACTATGCATTAAGGGATGTGTGGCCCAGGGGCTGCAATTACCGTTAATGAGTTTAATGCCAAAGGCATCGACAAACACATCCCTAGCGCCCTTTTCAAAATACTTGGTTTTCGTTTTTTCAGTCTGTCCTTTTTTTTTTAATGAGCGGCACCCGTGCTAAAAGTGAAAAATAAGAAGAAAAGTGAAGTTTTCTGCCTTGTCTATTTTCAGTTCTATCTACAGTTGATTTCATCGTGAACAGCGGAAAAAGTTTCACACAAAGCGCGCAACAAGTTTTTTGACCGAAGTTTTTTGTAACATATCCTGTGAAAGTTTCTAAAGGGTTGCATGTGTCTTCATGAAAAGTCAACGTTGCAAACAACATTTGCTGGACATGTTCATAGGGTATTTCCAGGTTGATCATTTAACTTGTTTTACTCTGTCTATTTTCTGAGCTACAGAAATTACCCTTTTTTGCTGGACACATTAATTTGCCCAGCTTCAGTGATTTGAGCAGGCAACCCAAGCCGCAGCATGCACCTGTTCGACCTTTTAAGCATTTGACCAGTTCATTGAAGCGTTTTGTGCTAAGGTCAGAGGCTGGGTGAGCCCTTGGCTCAGTTAAGGCCAAGTTTAACCTTAAATGTGCCGCAAATAGCATTAATGACTGCCATGAGTCGAGAGTGAAGAACTGAGAGCTGATAACTCTGCGCTCGTATATCGTTGGCTTTCGGTTTCGCTTTGACTTTCGACTTAAGTCTGTCTGTCCGACTGCTCGTTGGTCTATTCCTGTCGGTTGCCTTTTCGTTTTCTCTCTCTATATATATTTTTTTGTATTAAATTGGCCAGTAAAAGCCAATTAGTTAGTTGTGAAGCTGTGGGGGTTTTACCAAGTGTTAAATTAATTATCTAATGGCTGCACATCACTTAGTTGACTTATTAAACTTTTAAATAAAACGCAAGTGAAGTGCGCACAGCTCTTGCCTTTTTCAGCATAGTTAATTATATTTGCTGATAAAAATGAAATTGCAGTTTATCATAGAAGCAGTGCCAAGTGCTGTACAAATAGCCAGTTCAGGTCAGTTAGGGTCAGGTTGAGAGGTTAGAGACGACAACGACAATGGCAAAACAAATATTAAAGCCAGACAAACATATGTGTGTGCATGTGTGTTTGACTCCTGCTGTACTCGGAAGTGCCAAGCCGTTGAGCTGGCCGGCTAAGATGCTTCTTGAAAATCCTGTTATAAAAATGGTCAGCCAGCAACTCATACAATGCGATGAGACGAGAACAACAACAACAACAACAACAACAGCAACCACACAAACACACACACAGACACACACTCATAACAACAAAAAAATAGCACATGGCAAATCTTGTGCCGGAGCAGTGAACAGGAGGCAGGATCGGGTAGCGAAGCGAGTATAAGAAATGTAAACTTAAATATTTTATAGCATTAAAGCAACAAATAAAAGCAGCACCAGAGAGAGCCAGGCGAGCAGCCCAGTCCAAACCAGGCCAACAACCAGCCAGTCAGGCAGGTAAGTGCCGGGCGCACTAAAATAAAATTGCATACTTTATGGCGCTGGATGCGGCTGCACAAGGCGAACCGTTGCGTCGCAACGATGTGTATGTCTTCAAAGGCAACAGCAAACCCAAGAAAATTCGATGAAATTTATTTACAGTTAAAAAGCAGACAAATACAAAACGACGGAGCCGAGCAGCCAAAAGGACCAAAAGGACTTAGTACGTGCGTGTATGAGATGTGTGTGTGCGGTTGTGTGTGCGGGTGTGTGTGCGGGTGTGTGTGTTTATTATTTGAGTGAATTTATTTAAAATTCAATTAGGCCCCACATGCTCTGCTGCTCTACTACAACTGCTACGCCGGCTGCGGACATGGCGTGTTCAAATGAGAATGGTGCTTATGTGGCAAGGATCACTATACACTATATATATCTGCATTGCGGCTTACCAAATGATTGAGTTTATACAGAAATTGTTCATCGATCCTTACCTGCAACAGAGCAAATGAGAGAAATTTATTAATTATTATTGAATACATTTCGGCGGGCTTAAGCCTAGAAAAAAACATGTACAATTGGACAACAAATCTCTGTATTCATATATAGACTTTTATATATATTTATAGAGTAGTTAAAGGGCATACAATATCAAATGCACATATTTTAATTTACGGGTTTCGTTTTACAACAATTACTAAAATTTGAATTTTATTTTGCTTACAAATAAAAGACGACAAATCAAAATGATATAAGTTATACAAATAAAAATTAATTTTAAATTTTAACGAGCGCTATAATTAAATAATGAGCTTTTTTTTGCTTTTGTTGCAATGATTTCTTTAATTATATTGTGTTCCTGACAATATTAAATTTCAGCAATTTTGACATTTTCTGTGCGCATAATGAGCCCATTTTTGGCAGACTTTTTAACAACCATTCCCACCTTGGGTCGTTCCCTACACTCTAGCCTTAGGCATATCATTTTCAAGGTCTCACTTGCAATCAAATTATGAGTAATTTATGCCGCTGCCTGCTGCCTACTTATAATTTTAATATCATGACACCCAAAATCTTGTTAAAGAAATCTCAATTATCTACTTTTATTGATTTGCAAGGCAAGCAAAACACAGATGCTAAACAAGCGGAGCGAACCGGAGATCCTGATGCTATTTACGCACCATTTTGTCGCTCTTCACTTTCGCTTTCGTTTCGCTTTCCGCTTTTGACAAACGAAATTTCGAACAAAAAATGCACGAAAACAATTACGATAAAATATATAGATATATACATATATATATATGTGTATATGTATGTATATATATACTTGTAAGTAGGTTAGGCCCAGGTTGACGGGGTAGTCTTTGACAAGCCCTGAGCATGGATAAAAGCAAATTATGATAACAATAAAGATTTAACTAGAGGAGCTCGTGAAGTGGCAGCAGGCGGCATGCCGCTAGACACAAAGCCCTGCCACGAAACGACACGGCACGACCCGGCGCTCGACCAAGGCACATAGCGAAACAGGGACAATTTAAATAGACATTTATCTTGCCAAACGACAGCCCAGGTTGTGCAACCACACACATACACACACACGCGTGCCGTTGCCTATAACAAAATTACAGCATTGCGGCTGATCCATGACGATGACGATAATGTGCGGGTTCTCATAGCTCGACAACGAGCCACCCAACCCCCCAATCTTGCCGCACCTCCCGACCAGCACCCATCACTCTCAACACCCCCTGCCAGTACCTTTCCGACATTGATGATGTGAACGAGAGTTGGTTCGGTTTTTTTGTTTGATTTTATTTATGCGCTTTCGTGTATTTTGTATAACAAGAACAGCAACCACAAAAATTTTCATAGCGTTCGGCTTTGCCTTCAGCGTGTCTACGCAGGCTGCTCTTCTTCTACTTGTTGTTATTATACTCGCTCACAAAGTGAGTAGAGTATATTGGTTTTGCCCAATGTCTGTGTATCTGTGATTTTCAAAATAGAGACTTTAAACTTGGCGTATACACTCGATATACCCTCGACAGACAGTCACTAGGGGCGTAATATATCAAATAAGGAGTGAAGACTGCCTGTGCTCTCTATTAAATATCGGTTGAATAAATATTTGGCTGAAATCAAATGGAAATGGTAAATCGAGAAAGTCGACAACTGTTAGGGGTTATTAAATTCCGAACGGGTATTACACAGTCGTTCCTACCCGAATAGAACATTCCTACTTGTTTTTGTTTGCTGTTTTTATTTTCTTTACAATTTTTGGCTTGGCAAATGTTTTTCAAAGCATAAAAATACTTTTACATTAACTTGTTCTAACAACACGAACACACACACACGCACAGTTCAAAAAGTTGTAGAAAAAAATAAAAAAGATTTTTTTCTTCTACATTTTGCGTTGCTTTTAGCGCTCAACGACTTTGCCGCTTGCTGGCTTTTGCTCTTGTTGCTGTTATTGTTGTTGCCTACTTTTAAGAAAAGCGAAAGTAGCGCAAGAACAACAACAAGTTTCAGTCAGCGCAAATGTAGAGCGTGCCACGTTATGGCAAGTGTGTGTTTATGCCCAAAGTTTTGCCAAAAATACAAAAAAAAAAGGCAGTCTAACAAAAAAGTTGCCCTTCGCTATATCAACATCATTTGCGTTAAGTGGTTTAAAAGCAATGCGTGAAGAGTCGAGCAGTTACAAATATGCCAGAGCCTAATGCCGGCATCTTTATCTGCCATATTGACTGGCACTAGGCAACGCCGCTTCGCCGCCTATTAAACTGCAATAAAGCTTTGCTGGCACGATGCCAACAACGGCGCAACAGGAGCCGAAACCAGTTGCTGCCACTTTGCCGCTTGCCGCCTTCCACTTGGCCTATGCCTAATTGGCTGTTGTCTGCCTGTTGCCAAAAACTGTTGCATGCTTTAAGGAGAGTGCCTAATAAAATTTGCTGCGCCTGACAATAAAGCAAAAGGCAACAAAATAAATAAAATAGCACCACACACACGCATATATATAAATATATATATATATATATATGCAGGGAAAATGCCGAGCAATCTGAACATATTTCATGGTGCTCTACGTGCTGCGATTTTTCGGATATTTTTTTTTTCCTACTAGAAGCAGCAGGGCTGCCACCTGCTTGCCAGACTTTTCCTTTGTCTAGCACTTTGTATAGATTTTGGCGTATCGATAGCAGAGGCATAGACCGACACACACTCACACAAATACACATACATATATTTATTTACATTGTGTATGTGTGTGGGGTATCCTTTTTATGGCTGCTGGCAAAATTTATGATTTCTATTCATGCGCTTGCTTTGTTCAAAGGATTTGTGCTTTGTGTTCCGTTCCTTGTTACCTGTGCGCTAGCTCTAGTTGTTTATAAGCTTTAAATTTGTGCGTCAATTAAATTTACATAGAAAAACCAAAGCAGGCCAATAAGAACAATAACGATGAACAAGAGCGTTGGCTAAATTATGGCAATTAAAGCAAATTAAATGTAGTTGAGAGCCTGGCTAACAGGTAGCAGGCAAGCCGCCAGGCAGATGAAGTTACGAAAATGGGATATCAAAGTTCAAACGGCGCTCAATAAAGTTAACTAAACAAAGTGGGGGCGGTTGTTGTTGTTGCTCCTGCCGCTGCTGCTGAGACTAATGAACCTGCCAAGTAACACAGCATTCGTAACATTTTAGAGAACGAAAACAAGAAAATGCAAAGCAACAGCAACAGCAAACACCAAAATCTTGAACCACACAATGTAGACAAATAGCCTCATCGTCAACGCGCTGAGGAAATTGATTTGCATAGCAACCAAAAGGAGCGACCAGTTTACCAGTTCTTCGCCAAAAGCAGCATATGACCCAGGTCTGCTTTGGGGCCTGGACGAAAATCGGAAGATGTACGCACCAGTATGAGTGTTCGCTAAGCAGTTTAACTATTTAGGGCAACAACAGCAACAATGCTGCATCTATGGCAACTTCAATTTGCTGTCCTTACCCCGGCACCACATCCACCCTAGCCCACACAGCGCCGCAGGCCGAAGTGTCAAAGACATGGCCCGAGCTGCACAAATGTTGACAAGCTAATGAAATGTGAGCAGCTCCTTGGCAATAGAATAGGTGGGTCGGTTGTTCGGGGGGTGGGTTAAAGGCGGTCAGAGCCCAAAATTGATACACTGTCACAACTTGACGAGCAGCTGAGTGCCCGCATCCTTCAGCGCCCGCCACTCTTGGTGATGAACTGTCGCTCCTGACGATGTCAGGAAAATCCCAGGCGATTCAATCTGACGCAACTGGGCAGCAGCTATGGGGTGGCGGAGGGCCCTACCAAATTGTTGCTTAGACATTTGCCTATGCAAATCGAAATTATAATGAAATCAGCTATAACAACTCAACTATGAACGGACACGATGAGGGAAAATAGGTGGGAGAGTACTGGGAAATTCGGTTTATGCTTTCCAAATTGAAAATCTATCGAATGGATGCAAGAGCTGGCGGGCTCGCCAAATACATCATTTGAACAGCGATTGGACGACATGTCAGTAGCAAAAGCAAAACACATAAACTAAGCATCTAAACGGGACAGAATTTTACTGCCTTAACGAGCATCACATTTGCCACATGTATCATAACAGCTGGAGACACGCACCTCACTCAGAGGACGGGTGGATGGGGATGGTTAATTCAAAACTGAATTCCAAACAATTTGCACAGTAAACTGTTGGACGCCCCAAAGTCATAAGTGGTAAATCACATCAATATGTAAGAGAGGCAACAACAGCCAAAAGCAAACGAGTCCTGAGTCCTGGGCAAGGATGTTTATCTAAGGACACGGCCACATACATCGCTAGAATTGGTCTAGAACCGGACTACGATTTGCTATGCAATTTTACACACTTGACCATTAAACGTAGCCATTGGGAGCAGTTTGCATAGCAATGAAGCCAACGGCTGGCCCTGTCGTACCGCAGGCCAAAGAAATGGAATAAAAGCCGAGCCGTAGTCGGTCAACTTGATGAAGTATGAATGATTACAACGGCATAAGAGTTGGACAGAGAAAAACTAGGCAACACGAGAGAAAGAAAGAGAGAGGGAGAGAGAGAGAGAGAGAGAGAGAGAGAAAGATAACGATGGAAAGCATAAGCGTGCTCATCTTTATCCACATTGAAAAGGTGTAGTTGACTGTAAAAACTTCAATGAATAAATTTTTTTTATGCGTTGGGTCATCTCGTAAAAGACATAAATAAAATAGACATTTGGTCAGTCGCACACACACTCAAAATATGGAAGACCAAAGTAAATTGATCGAAATGAAAATGTTCATAAATTTACATAGACCCAAAATATTGTAATTGAGCGTTCAGAAAGCGGCACCTTGAAGTAGGCAATGCCAAAAGGAATTTATGTGCGAGCAGATAAAAGCCAAGTTAAGTCCCAAACTAACTGTCCAACTCAACTGGCAGCCATTTAACCAATTTAAGCAGCCACA